GCCCCTAGGTTTGAAAGGGGTCCCTCCCCCGACCAGTCGGGGGGTCGTTCCCCAAGAGGCAGGGGTGTCGTCGCCCCCCCCCCCTCAGCGTGTGGAGAGGAACTTCACGGCCACTCAGCAGTCAGCTAGACCCTTTTCACCCCCGTTAGTTGAATGGCCGCGACTGGGGTACCACCGTCCCCCCTTTGATGGAGGCAGCCCTAGCTAGCTGGCGCCCTAGCTCCCACCACGGTCACCTCCACTGAGCCTTTGAGTCGTCAACAGTCCACTTGTCAAACTGTTCTATTGCGACGGTCTCAGTGAAGGCGTACAACCCGAGTGGCGACTGTTAGCAGTTCGCGCTCTATTGGATTCGGATTTACAACACGGTGTGGCCTCCACTTGGTTATTGGGAAGACTCGCCACCAGAGCCGTTCACTTGGAACCTGTAAGTGGCCTCAGCTTTGAAGCCTTTGTGGCCATGCTGGGCCGCTTCGTATCGCGTCGCGGTTTGCCGGACCCGGTCCGGTCTGATTGCGGAACGAATTGTGGGGGCACGGACAGATATTGAAGGAGGTCGTCGGACTTCTGTCCAGTAACAGGACTTATTTAGGTGCTGCGATGTCCAGGAAGGGCATCCAGTGGAGTTTCGACCCTCCGGCTTGCCCACATTGGGGCGATATTTTGAGGCGGTGGTTACGGTTGTAAGATCTGATGGGGTGCCTAGGGTGACCGAGGTATTGGTTGGAGATTCGGTCTTGCAACGTGCCGTCGCGACCCTGTCCCGTTTGCCAATTTACTCGCGGACATAAGTCCTTATGTCCGGTTTTTGGTTTTGATGGCCTAGAATTTGAGTACTTGTGCGCGTCTAATTTACTATTGAATATTTGGGTTTCGTATAGACCGCCTCGAATTGGTTTGTCTAATTTGTACATTTCGTGACAAGAGGCTTGGTGATTAAAGTAACTTCGTTTGCAAGTAATTTACGTCAATTTGTATAGTGATTGCATCTTGAAGTGCATTTTGCAATATTTAATTTGCTTGTGTGACGCGGTCTCGTGTGCGCACGCCGAGTCGTAAGATGGCCTGAAATTTGACGCTCGCATTCCATTTCGAGGGCGCGGCCCGGTTAATTGTTTTTGGAAGTTAATGTTGATTTGTAACGTCACGTTAAGTGCCCTTTTGTGTGTTGACTATTTTCGATCGTTTTACGTGTCAACGAGGCGGATTTTGAGTTCTGATTGCGGGCGTGGTATTTAATATCGTACAAAGGAATTTTAGCTTGTTGTGTGGAACGCTGAACTTTGAGACTCGAGAAGAGGCCGCGTTCGTTCCCGTGTTTGTAATTTTGTGCTAAATGAACCCGTAACATTGAATATTGAACTTTGAACGACTGTTCGTTACTTGTGTCGTGTTTGATTACGATGAACGTTGAATTGGTTGACTCCTACTCTGACTCCTCGAAACCATTTTCTTGCATAACCTCCGTATGCTGCTGTGTCTGTAACTCTTGTATCTCCTCAGTCGTCAGTCCCTGGGTGTGCTCCTCGACGAGCTCGTTCACGTCTCTCTCTTCCACCTCTAGACCCATGGATTTCCCCAGAGACACAAACTCCTCCTCTACTGACATCCGCGTGGCGCGCGGTCGCGTGGTACCGACCTGCTAAACCGAAACTCGTATCTCGAATTTCAGTCGTAACTCAAAGCAAAAAATCACTCGCTCGCCGGCACTTATCTCGAAAAACTCGTATGTTGGGGCACTCGTATGTCGAGGTACCACTGTATATGATGTAGGTGGCTAAGGACCGTGTTTTGTGATTTTTATTGAAGAGGCAGGAGGCCTATGTTTAGTCTGTATCGATGATGATGATGATGATTAATTGTTTGTTTTATTTAATGTTATAGGCCGTGCTGAAAAAGATCGTCACTATAATAATAGTGTACTGTAATATATCAGTATATTAATAAAAGTATTAGAATAATAATAATAAAAATATTTCTTTTCTTTTAATCAGTCCAGCTTAAGTATTTTATGTATTCATGACTAAATTATGTATTTAGTCTTAAAAATTGTATGTTAATAAAAATAGAGAAACCATCACCTCGTTTCGTCCCATGTTTGTTACGTTATAAGAGATATGTCAAAAAATCTCATGAGTTCTGTTTAGTCGTGGTCGGCGGTATAACCATCTCGTTTACGCTAGGCGTAAAATCCAAATCGACGATGGACAAGCTGCGTCAAAGGTGTTCACGTCTAGAACTATGATTGTCAAGACGCCTGCCAAGCATGACAGGCTCAAGTCCAGCAGTAAACTTTAATAGGCCAATAAAGAAGGAAAAAGTCACAAAAAGCTTGCTGTGTTCTGAGCTCTGATAATACAAGTGTTTATTAATGGTTTAATTAGCTTTTTGTTTTTCAGAAAAAGTCATTCTTCCAAGAGAATATGCAGAAACTGCCGAAATTCTCCTCTTTTTTGAAAAGGTATTCGATTCTGTTAATGGCAACTACTAAAAAACTATATGTAAAGCCTCTTCTTTGACCAGCAAGGCCAAACTCAGAACACTTGGAATGAAGCAAAAACTATATTAAATAACATGAAATTTATAAATAAAATGTTAAATAATCATGAGTGTATCAACAATAAAAAAATGGGTATGGACACTAATTAGTGGACAAATTCTTTTAAGCCATAGTTGCCACGCTTGGCAAGCGGGATGGCAACACAGTTTTTTTTATTTTCTTAGGAATACGGTGTTGCACGTCTTCTGGATAGGATCCTGTAACGTTTTTAAACCATAAGAACACAATAACAAATCATTTTCAGTTCGTATTTTCACGCTATCAGCACTTTTTAATTCGGTGTCGATGGAGTCTACCTTTTTCGATCTTTTATTTAGTTCTCCGTAACTCTGCAAATTCGGGCTTCGTGCGCGCTGTTGCGCTACCTTTTTTCCTATATCAATAATATCTCATTTTTCACTTAAATCTTGCCGTTTCTCTATTACAAGCCTGAAACCAAAATTTGACATGTTTTGACATCGTTGTTTATCTGGTTTTCATGGCAATTTTTATTCAAATTCGTTACCGGTCTGTTGTTTTTACTTCAATATTTCCACATAAATACTCTTTTCTCTTGGTCATTTACAAAAAATTTGCTTTTAATTTAAATAATTTTCCGTTCTCTCTAAAAAGGTATAAAAGCCGAACAATCGGCCAATAAACTCAATGTCATTACGAAATAAGCGAACCCTCTATAAGGTTTGTATACGACCGGTTATGACTTACTCGGCTCTTATTTTTGCACACGCTAACGATAAAATTATTAACGAACTCCAAGTAGTTCAAAACCTCTTCTGTCGTCGAGCTACGAACGCACCTTGGTACGTCCGTAATGCCGACCTTCACCGGGATTTAGAAATCCCAACAATCCAGCAATGTCTTAAAAAATTCTCTGAAAACTTCTTTAAAGTATCAGAGTCGCATACTAACACACTTATTCGTGAGGCAGTTACTTATACCGCCCCACTCCCTTCTCGCTATAGCGTCCGCAGGCCGAGAAACACTCTCTCGGACCCGCCAAATAAGTTGTCAAACGACCTGAACTGCCTCCTGGCGGCTCAGGCCAATCCTAATTAAATTAAAAATTAGTTAAAATTAATAATATGCCTTCGTAGGCAGTCTCTAAACGGCACTTAGCCGTCTGCGCCCTCTTTTCCCAAAAGAGGGTCGCTTTAGATACGGCATATGCAGCTTTAATAGAGCTAGTTGCCAGTCCCCAAAGGCGGTTTTTAGTGGGTATCACTTAGGTCCCCCGGTAGGCAGTGAGTCCCACATAACCAGGACAGACCGGCTGTCGTGGTATGCATAATGCATTTTCCGCCTCCCTCAGTGGTAGCCCTTTTCCAATTGCTTCGGGCGCAAAAAAAAAAAAAAAAACCAATAAACTCAGTCTCGCTTCGGCTCTCAAATTCGAAGCATCTCCTAAAGGCAGTGCGGCCCCGGGATCCTGCAAGCCTCTGTCCTGCCTGAAGTCGCCGGATCCTGCAAGTCTCTGCCTCTGCCTTCGCCTGAAGTCGCCGGATCCTGCAAGTCTCTCCCTCTGCCTTCGCCTGAAGTCGCCGGAATCCTGCAAGCCTCTGCCTCTGCTTCGCCTGAAGACGCCGGGATCCTGTGAACCTCTGCCTTCACCTGAAGTCGCCGGGATCCTGCAAGCCTCTGCCTTCACCTGAAGTCGTCGCCTAGCCACGCCCACGCCTTCACCTACGTTGTGCGTGCTCGCTCCAGGCGCTGCGAGCGCTTATTCCAGGCGCTGCGAGCGCTTATTCCAGGCGCTGCGAGCGCTTATTCCAGGCGCTGCGAGCGCTTATTCCAGGCGCTGCGAGCGCTTATTCCAGGCGCTGGGAGCGCTTATTCCAGGCGCTGCAAGCGCTTATTCCAGGCGCTGCGAGCGCTTATTCCAGGCGCTGCGAGCGCTTATTCCAGGCGCTGAGAGCGCCTACTCAAAGGCGCTGCGTGTGCCTACTCCAAGCGTTGCGCGTACCTAGACCAGGCGCTGTGCGCCTACCACAGGCACAGCCTGTGTATAATCTGTGAGCAGCGAATACCACCACCAAACGCGGTGTACCACTTGGATCTTCGGGCTCCGCTTCAATACTCATCATCTTTCTTATCCTTTTTTTAGAAATAATAGTAAATCACGTCACCCATCTTCATCTTCATACTTCATTTTTTTATACAAAAACTGTAAATACCTTTTTAAATTTTAAATAAATTATTTGTTTTTGTTCTATTTTTGCTGTTCTGTTGTTGTTAGGTTAGGTTCTTTTGTTCTTAATTGTCGCTTCACGACAAGCGTCTTCCTAGTAACAAATAAAAATGAAAAACCGCGGTTGCCAACCCAACATGCATGGCAACTATGGCAAATATCCCCCCTATGAGTCAATCCGTGGGGGAGGCCTATGTTCAGCAGCGGACTTTTATAGGCTGTAACGGTAACGATAAATGTCGAAACGAGTAAATAAAAACAAAATAGTATGATTTAAATAAAATAAAAAAAAAAAACATGAAGGTCTGGTCTCTTTCCACTAACCACTCGGTACATATTTCAAGGTTCGATTTCACTTGGTTGCTTCTTTGGTTTTTGAATTAGCTTTTTCAGAATAAATGCAGTTTCAATTAGCACATATGATACGGAAATGTTTTTCTACTCGTTCTACAGTTACATAAGGAACTCATGACAAATGGATTTTTATCTAGTATACTTTTATATTTATATACAACACGTTTACATAATATTGCACATATTTTACCAGATCTCTCACAAAAAAGGTTCTGCTCAAGTGTGTGTTTTCATATGCCTTTGCAAATGACTTTTATGAATACATTGATATTTACAGATATGACACGAAAAAGGTTTTTCTCCAGTATGTATTTTCATATGCCTTTGCAAATTACTTTTTTCTATACATTTATATTCACACATATTACATGAAAAAGGTTTTTCTCCAGTATGTATTTTCATATGTGTTTGCAAATTACTTTTACGAATACATTGATATTTACAGATATGACACGAAAAAGGTTTTTCTCCAGTATGTATTTTCATATGTGTTTGCAAGCTACTTTTGTGAATACATTGATATTTACAGATATGACACGAAAAAGGTTTTTCTCCAGTATGTATTTTCATATGCCTTTGCAAATCACTTTTCTTAATACATTTATATTCACAGACATTACATGAAAAAGGTTTTTCTCCAGTATGTATTTTCATATGTGATTGCAAATGACTTTTTTTTATACATTGATATTTACAGATATGACACGAAAAAGGTTTTTCTCCAGTATGTATTTTCATATGTGTTTGCAACACATCTTTTCTAATACATTTATATTCACAGATATTACATGAAAAAGGTTTTTCTCCAGTATGTATTTTCATATGTGATTGCAAATGACTTTTTTGAATACATTGATATTTACAGATATGACACGAAAAAAGTTTTTCTCCAGTATGTATTTTCATATGTCTCTGCAAATGATTTTTTTTTACACTTTTATAATCACAATTATTACAACAGTACACTTGTTCAGCAACATGCGCTTTAAGATGTGCCAAAATGCGACGTTTTTGAGATGTTTTAAATTCGCAAATATCACAATTAAATATTTCCATTAGTTGTGGTACTGGAGTTTGTTCAACTTGTGTCCGAACTGCAGTGGTGTTCTTTTGGTTCTTTTGCGTCTTATGACTGTATGAAATGTGTTTGGCGAGAATGTCTTTTGTTGAAAATTTTTTGCTACAACCATCACATTCAAAAATGTATTTTGTTGATGCCCCTGACGTTTTTTTCGTAAGTATATTTACACTCTTTTGTTTCAATATTTTCTTTCTCATAATATTTGCAGGATGCTTTCCTTTTTTATTAATTGGTTGATTATCTTTTTTGACTTTAGGCTTTGATTTAATAGTAGGGCTTTCTAAATCAAGGTTTCGAACATCGTTTATGTTACAATCAGTAGAATTTGATTTAATCTTGCTCTCAGACGCTTTTGAATAATGATTTGTCGGTATGATGTATGGTTCTGAAATACACACGAATTGAACATTTAATTTATTATAAGTAAAACTTTTATTGTAAGACACCTTAAACGCATTCTCTATCAGTCAACCAGGGAGAAATAGATAAATTATAAAATTACATAATTATACAATGTTGCTAGATATAAAGTATTTTACTTTTAATAATGTCTCTCATATTCATTTTTGGAGGGAAAGAATGGCAGAGAAACTAAATTCGAATGATAATGATGACGTTCTTCTCACCATGTTCTAGTATAGATGCTTCAAATCGCACAAGGGACAAGCATTATACAGAATGATTGGAAGATTGACTTGTTGGTTGAAGAAGATCATTTAGGCCATAATTATTTTAGACAGTCTGACTATACTTTTTGTTTTTGGTGATAAAACTAAAATTTTTACAGTTAATTGCTAATAATTGCCAATTTAATTAACGTCTGTTTTTTTTTTAAATGTAAGTAATGAATAAGAAATCTAAGAAAACATAGTCTCAGCATCTGTGTCATCAGACATATTTTTGTACAGACACTAAGTTCACGAAAATTTTCTACGATTTAAAGAAACATAATTAACATTTTAAATAATAAACATTTTTGACACTAAGTTAAAAAAAAACTGATGGTACTTAAATTTATTGTTAGAACCTTTTTGAAAACATGCTTGCTTATTACTCTTTCATTTGAGGTATAACTTACACGCATTTGTTACAAATTTTTCAATTGTCCCCTAAAACTAGATTGAGGTAGAAAATTTAAATTTTTAGACAGACTAATAAAAATTCTAATTATTTATTTGTTGATGCTCAAAATAATTGATGCGATTACTAACAAAAGCACGGGCCCGTCGTCTCACTTGTGTTGTAGTTACTTTCAACATCATGGTTTCCAATGCTGAATTAATTCTTTGGAATTTGAAATTCCGGCCATATAGCTCGAAGAAATGACAATGAATGAGGAAGTTTTACGAGTGGCAGCCTCGTACCAGTAGACAAAGTGTAGGGCGGCCCTCCATTTGCTGGAATGATGACCTGGTAAGAAATGCAGGAAGGCGATGGATTCCTGATGATGAAGATTTAATGATGTAATGCGCTCATCTTTTCATTTTAATTTTTATAGGATAGGGTGACAAACGAGCACACAGTCCACACAATGGTAAATGGTCGCTGTGACCCATAGACATCTACATCTGTCCTCAATAAAGAATCAAAATGCAGATGCATTGTCACCCACGGGGACTACGATGGAATGCCTCTTTTCCAGTAAAAAGTGTATCTGGTTCTCTACAATCACCATACGAAACACAGCAGTGTTAAGCTGCTATTTCACGCTGGTATTCTGTGAGAGCGTGACCCTTCCCCGGTCGAGCCGACCCATTCGTGCTATAACTATACTACTAATATAGCTGCAGCATGGCTCTACCACAACTAAAATGGAATGACCCACAGCCTGTGATTATTCTGACTCTATACCCATCAGAATGGAATACAGCAGTGCACGCACTGCTATTTGACGACGGAAATAGGTAAGAGGAGGAGGGAGAAGTCCATCTGGGCAGGCACAAATAGATCAACTCCTAGGCAAACATGGAGTCACACCACCTAGTACTGACACTAAGAAGATGGCAAAGATAATTCGTTGCTTAGCAGTATGTATCTTTGTGCCTTTGACATGCACTTTGAATTTAGACAAAGGGAAATCAGTAAATCAGTACATTACACATGAAGCCCTCTTTATTTTGTGTCTACGGGCTACAATAACCACTTGCCATAAGGTAAATTGTACCTTATTTTAATAATATCAAGAAAAGGGGTATATCTTACCTGTTTCATGATTCTCATTTTCTTCAAATTTGGAATTCTCATATTCGAAAATCTCTTCCTCAACTTTAACGGCATCAAGGCAAAAAATTTCGTCCTTGCAATCATTGTCTATATCACACTCTACAGGCCAGATATCTATATGATAAATTGGTGTGAATTTAATCTCACCTCTAACCTTATGCGGTTTTGGTATAGACTGAAAGGAAATAAGTTTTTCAAATAAGAGAAAAAGCCACTATAGTGGTGGAGTAGGAGAACCCATACTACCCCCTGCCATCCCGCAGATGTCGTAAAAAGGGGCAGAGGGAAACTGAAACAGGAGATCGGGGGGCAGCATCTTCCTGACAACAACTTCAAATAATAATAAACACCGGACAAAAGTGAGGGTTCAGAGTAAACTTAAATAAGAATGTACATAGTTCATCTATTCCGAGAATCGAGTCTCAACAACTTTTGGATTCAGATTCACGAAAGCTGTAAATTGACAAAGATTTATCTTTGTTTATTGAGATTTGTTTATATACAATAGGGTAATATATAACAGTATAAACAGTTTGATAATTGTTTTTGTAAAAATAAGTACTATTGCTCTAACAAAAGTAAGTTGGATTGAAGGACAAACTTAACTTTACACTAGAAACATTCTCCCATATAGCAATGGCAAGCAGCATAGAAAAGTGGATTGTGCAGTGACGGTGTAAGAATATCCACTATCACAGGATCGGCAACATTTTATATATATATATATATATATATATATATATATATGGTATTATTAGATAATCACTTTTTACATAAAAAGTTAAAACAAACATTTATTTACATTGTAAGTCTTACAACACTAACTTATACTTCAAGTACAAACAATTGAGCAAACAAATTCAATGGGAGTTTTGGCTCGAATATGTCGATTCGAAGATAGTCAGCACTCCAAATGCCAACTTCTTCACCTCACTATAGCAATCTGGAAGACTATTCTATGCGTCGAATATAACTCAACTCGCAGCCTTTCTTTTAAAGGGACACATACTGCTGCTTGGTGCCAGAAAATGGTAAAAGGATGATATCTAGGCAGAAAGAAACTCCTACAGTTCCAAGCCACCTACATCCATCAACTACATTACGTACATTAACTTCAAACTGCTATCATCACTAAGAACATTACAAATACTTCTCTTATCACTCTAAGTAAACTGATAATGCTTGTGGTAGGAGGATATTGAAACAAAACACAGGGTGGTGGGTGGTACTACACATTCTGTGAAAGTGTAGTACCACCCCGGTCGAGCCGACCCATCCATGATACAACCATAATATAGCTGCAGTCCGGCTATACCAAATATAAAATAATGATAATAAGTCTTTCTACTCTATTCTCTCATTTTAATAGTCCGATAGAACTGTTTTAATTTGCTGAACAACCAAGCCAGGGTAAATGTTAATTTGTTGATAAAAAATCACAATAATAGTCATTCAAGTAATATGTACTAGAAAAGACACCAGGAACAAAATCTATGCAGCAGTGCGGGTTGCATGGAAGGAATGGAAGGAGAATGTAGTACAATTAAGACCCAGATATTTGACACTTCACTAATCTACACACTCAGCTTTGGAAAAATCTAGTAGACTGTAGACAAGCTAGGGAGGCCCTGCCTGAAATAAACAGTTGTTTAACCAAAGTTCTAATGAGACTGAACAAGCCGCAGATCAGGATAGTAACAAGTGCTATCACAGGACACGGGAACTTTAACAAGCATTTATTTACTATAGGTGTTACAGATAGTCCCCTGTGCAGCGCATGTCTGGGGAAGGAAGAAACGGCGGCCCATGTGATATTGAAATGTCCAGAGGTCGCTACATACAGGGCTAAACATCTCGGCACGCCGAGATCACTCCCCGAAGTTGCATGCAACATCAAGGGACTGTTGAGCTTCTTTGGGGAGATCTCATGGCTCGAATAAGCATATTATTCCTGCCCACACGCTAAATACGAGCATAGACGTGGAGTTGCGAAAATCAGCCCGTCGTAAACTATACTAAACTAAGACCCAGATACACTAGGGGCCATTTTGTCCCGCAAGATGATGTGGAACACTCAATCTACATGACGATGCTACATTGCACAGTGACCCAGAACATTGTAAGTGACATGGGACATGTTGCTTGTTCGGTACGACTTTCCATTGACGTCAGTCGAGTTTGGTGTTGATACGTATTTTTACAGAAAGATTACATTTTTTATAAGCACACACACAAAGTTTCAATATGCGGAAACACATACTTATTGAGAAAAAAAACATTGTAAATGAAATAATTTTGCAATATTTAGTCAATTCCTACCGTGAAACTGAGGCCATTTTTATTATTATTGTCAATAGGGATGTCGATTCTTTCCGAAAAAGATCGATTTTTTAAATAGATTCGAATTGTAAGCTGATTTATCGATTCCCGAAAAATCGATTTCTAAAATATCGATATTTTTTTCATGTTTGCACTTATAATGTAAATATAAATCCATTTTATGAGAAAAAAATTCCCTTCATAATAAAAAAATAAGGAGACTGATTCAAAAGGATTTCTGTATCTATTTTGAGACTGCTACGTCTCCGGCGCTGCGGGAAGAGCAGCGCCTCTACGCCTTAGCGTAACAAATCGCAGGCATCCCTCCTCGTCTGATGCCTACGATTTGTTACAGCAGGCGGAGGCTGCACCCCCTACGCGCCTCCGGCTCTATAAAACCACTCTAGGGGTAGGACAGACTCGTACCAGGTGAAGTCGGGGTCAATCAATTCAGTTCTATGACATAAGTTGAACCTAACCTATTTTATTTGTTATCTGCCCTAATAGGTACTGTTAAATAAAACAAATTTCAATAAGAGATCATTTATCATGGTTTCTTTCTTGTTTTTCATAAAATGGGTTTATTTACATTAAAAATAGAAACATTAAAAAAATTTTTATATTTTAGAAATCAATTTTTTGTGAACCGATACATCAGCTTACGATTTGAATAGATTTAAAAATCAACCTTTTTCGGAAAGAATCGACATCCCTATTGACGTCGACAATGACATTACAAAATGGCGCCAGTTTTATGGTAGGATTAGATATAAAAATTGCAAGAATAGTTGATTTTCAATAATTCTTTTCTCAAAAATTACGCGTTTCCGCATGTTGAAACTTTGTGTGTGTGCTTATAATAGTGTAACTTTTCTGTAAAAATGCGTATCAACACCCAACTCGACATACGTCAATGGAAAGCTAAGCCGCTTGTTCCCTGTCCGAGAGAGAGTGCACATGTCTGGCGTCAGTGTCACGTCATTTGTTACCGGGTGTAGTTGTGTGTACAACTTTACTTGCAACATGTCAGTTGTGTGGGGAAATTAAACCGTGCTTTTACTTCTTGAACTTTACCAGAGTCGTGTTTTGTTATGGGATACTTCTAACCATTAACTTCTGGTGCTATTCTGTCGATCAGTTGTTTCAACACTCGAAAAGTGTATGACAAAGAAGCATAAAAAACTCTAGTCAACAAGTATCTTAATGCAATGGCAAGTCTGATACCGATATGAGGGCAACAGCATTCCATAGTATAGGATCCTGTTTGGTTATGGAAGGTCCGATCATATGTTATAACGTTTCAAAATCAGATGTTGACATTCGAGTAAAATTCACAAAAGATCCGTCAGACATTCGGAGATCACTTAAAATATATATTCTTCTTCCTTCTCCTTGTAGTAAGGAATTCTGAATCCACCACCTTTTCTTTCGCTTACGTTTCACTCCCGCAATAAGCACTACGTCCACAGCACTAATCGCCACAACCTCTTTGGGAGACATTTTTATAAGCACTACTGACTAGTGTGGCCTGCATTAAGTTCCGGGACATGTCTCGGGATATTCCACGTATTAGTTGAGACATGTTGCGCAACATGCCGCTCCTTGCGTACCCAAGTATATCCTACTAGGCTTTACTTAAATGATAATACTGATTTTAGTGCGACCCAGGATACCAGGCTAATTGTTATTTTTCAGGTTCTGGTTGTATTTGTCACTATATTTAACGCCACATCTTAGAACATATATCGGGCATCATAATGTAATTCTCCAGTGATAACAACAAATTACCGCAACTTCATTTAGCAATAAATAAATATTAAAAAACTTACAAAACTGTTCGTCAATGTCTTATACAAATATTGGAGGCCAGTCTCCTTTAGTGCAAACATGCGTATATTAACGCTTAAACAAATTCTACAAACTTCACCTTCACTAAAGGCCATTGTTGTTTTCTATAGTAGCTTTATTAAAATTGATTATCGAATTCTCTTTTTCATAAACAAACCGGACTTTTCTCTTGTTATTTTTTTTTGGAGTTTATGGCCTGGTATCTAGACCTTTAGGCCATTCCCTTGTTATTATTACAATTTATCACAGAATACACACAATTTTTTATAATCACAGAACACTATTACTCCTAAAGTTTATAATGCGCCCAACGCGTAGTGTTTCTATATAGTTTGTGTTTTGTTTGTGGGCCACAAACACAGAGTACTTTAAATAATCAGAAAGCCACAAATTATGGCCCAGCGTAGACTCGGGCAAAAATACCGATATATTAGTGATGGGTCAACTCGAGTTGCGCTTAACTCGAGTTAACTCGATTTGTATCTCCCCAACTCGAGTTTGGGCTGCTGTACATGAAGGAATCAAGTGAGCCAACATGAAAGTAAGAGCGCGATTCGTTGGTTGTGTGCGCGCTTTGTGTTTCAAATAGTATTTAGTTACAGTCAAAACAATTTGTTATTTAGAGATTTATAATAGCTAAGTTACATATGTAATTTAATTTCATTTATAATTTTGATTAATTATGATCCTTATAGCTACGTAAATCACATACCTATTATTGTAATACCTGAAAAGGGTGGTTAAGTTGTAAGATACATCATACTATAATTAAAGCCAAACACTTAACTTAGAATAAATATTTTGAATTTGAAATGTTTGAATTTATTGAAGAATATTTTAACTGTGACAATTAATCTATTAATAGGTTATGTACTTACATCTTAAAGCTAGACTAATATTTTTTCGTGAAGGCTGCTATATAAGTTGTTTTGTTGTTAAATACAGGTACTTTAACTAATATAAAAACCAAAAATACATAAGTATGTGATACATACTAAATATACATTTTCATTTCAATCCTACACAATAAGTTTGGTAATTATGGTTATCCCAACACACCAAAGAGCTACAAAGAAAAACACATTTATAAAAAAATAACTTCTAACAAATCCTTTACTCTGTTTCATACTGCTAACTCGAGTTGCGTAACTTGAGTTTAAACTCGAGCTGCGTGAATTACAACTCGAGTTAACTCGAGTTGTAATTTTTCCAAATTGGCACGTATATACGATATATCGTCGATATTTTAAATCGCGGTATATCGATATTTATTTTCGAGTATCGAATTCGATTCAATTTCGATATATTTTAAAATGTTGTATTAATGACAAAACATGTAACAACAAAAGGAGGTACATAAGTATTCATGTATGGTTGGTTGCCGTTTCCTTTTTCGTCGTCCAACCGTCAATAATATAAAATTATGGACCTTATCTTTACATCATGCATATCGATATTTATCACGCGATATATATGTTTGTGCTGTTTAAAAATATCGATGCGATTTTTTAATATATCCATTAGCCCAGCGCCCACATTTTTTTAATAACTGGCTTTACGGCTCTGGGTTCTAGCCCTTCTGATCCTGAAGTTACAATATATAATTATCCTTCATAGTACACTGCTTCGCAATATGTTGATGCGTCACATTGTGCAGTCCTTGGGAGATTTTAACGGCAACTTGAGCCAGCAGACAGCTGACAGTTGGCGATGGCATCTCAAGGCGCCTAAGCAGACAGATACCTTATTTTAAGAATCACATCACAATCAGAGCAGTTGTTTCACCGTTTACTACCATCTACTAATAGTTCACATGCGCAGACACTTAATACACAAAATCGCACCACTTTTACATATCGAAATCCACTTCAAACCATTATTTAAACAATTGTGGCGGCGATGTCGTCGCGTCACAAGCGAAACACATCGAAGCCTAAATCGCACTAACAAAGTTCCGAAGTTAAAGCAGCATATATAGAATAGCTCCGAACTACCAATCGGAGCGTTGGCCGTTCCCCGGGCAGAACACCTTGCCCGGCGGGAGATCTCCCCTTTTCCTTCCTACGGCCACACAATAATACAGTAGCAGCAAACCGCTACCGGTCAAGTTCCCGCCAAAACTCAAGCGCCCACATACTAACTAGTAGATTCTACTAGAATCAGACCATAGAAATAGTATTAAACTCGTAGACAGAGAAATATAGATAGACAAGACCTCAGCGTATATCAGTAAGAGATAGCGATAGTTCGCCAAAGTACATTACTACAATTACATGTAATTTAAATTGACATACTTAGACTTTTACCACCATAGTGTGGGTAATCTAGTTCTTTTTATTTCGGTTGTACTACGTCAACTACTAATTTAATTAATTTTATTTTCTATGGGGACGTATTTCTGACTATTTGACTGTGCGCGAACTGAATGACTCCGGGATGAACATTAAGCGCGAAGAGAAATGAGTTGTAATGATCATTTTATTACAATTTATCTAAGATATCCTCTCAGAAGCCAATTTACATAATTTAGGACCGGGTTTAGTAAGCTCGTGGGGCTTTCGAGTGTTTCATTCTATATTTATAGCTCAACACGTAAATAGTACAATTAAATAAATCATAATCAACTCATAGCCTCGAATGCATTCAGTTTGCGCATGTCGTCCCTTAGCTAACAACACCGCATAAGACATTTTTACCAACTTTACAGGAGACGATAAAAAACTGTCCATTTTAAAAAAGCGGCGGAAATTTTCTGTTGTTACTTAATAAATGCCCTAGTTAGCGGTTAAGGAATAATTATATTATAATTATTTTGACTATATACTTTATTTTAACTTTTATTTTATGACTTGAGCTGTGTTGACTGATATTTTATTAGATTTGGGTGGAGTTGTTTGCGGAAATGTTAGGGAATAAGGTATTAGTAGATGATTTACAACGAAAAGTTTTTATTACGAAATATTTCAATAATAATTAACAATCGTTATAACATAGCTATCAACTCGTATAACCTAAGTCTTGCGAATCACACGAAACTTTAGAGCGTATGTGCAAATTTTTATTGTTATTTTAATTGGTAAATATTTAAAACATAGTCTTTAAAAATTTTAACGAATCAAGATATAATAGTAACAAAATAATAAAAGTTAACTTAGTTATACTAAGATAACTTAGTTAGTTATACTTGAAATCTCCAGTCTAATAGTTAGTTGCAGTCTTTAGCGATTGCTGTGCGGAAGGTCATCATAAAAAGAGTAGCAACTAGTTAGTAATACACTTTTTAGATCTTGCAAATCTTCCACACTTCCGCTTTGTAATTGGTATTCTAGCTGCATACAATTTCTGCAGGTGATTTATTTGATTAATGCTGTTAATGCTATCCGAGTACAGAATCAGAGTACGAAACCTATCCAATTGCAGAGAGGTGTAAGACAGGGTGACGTCATATCCCCGAAACTCTTACCGCTGCATTGGAAGACGTTTTCAAGCTTCTGGACTGGAAAGGATACGGTATCAACATCAATGGCGAGTACATCACTCACCTTCGATTTGCCGACGATATAGTCCTTATGGCAGAATCGCTGGAGGACCTAAGCACTATGCTCAATGACCTCGATAGTGTTTCCCAACGTATAGGTCTTAAGATGAACATGGACAAAACAAAGATCATGTTCAATGTCCATGTCACACCTATGCCGGTAGTTGTTGGGAGCACTAAGCTCGAAGTTGTTGACGAGTATGTTTACCTGGGACAAATAGTCCGACTAGGTAAGTCCAACTTCGACCGAGAGGTCAATCGACGGATTCAACTCGGCTGGGCAGCGTTCGGGAAGCTACGACACATCTTCTCGTCAAACATACCTCAAAACCTGAAAACGAAATTGTACAACCAGTGCGTGTTGCCAGTGGTAACTTACGGAACTGAGACGTGGTCCTTCACTGCTGGCCGTATGAGGAAGCTCAAGGTCGCTCAGCGAGCTATGGAGAGGGCTATGCTCGGAGTTTCTCTGCGTGATAAACTTAGGAATGAGGATATCCGCAGCAGAACCAGAGTAACCGACATAGCCCAACGGATTAGTAAGCTGAAGTGGCAGTGGGCCGGCCATATAGCTCGAAGAACCGACAACCGATGGGGAAGAAAGGTTCTCGAGTGGCAGCCTCGTACCGGTAGGCGAAGTGTAGGGCGTCCCCCCACGAGATGGAGTGACGACCTGGTAAGACATGCAGGAAGTCGATGGATGCAGGTGGCTCAGGACCGTGCTTTGTGGCATTCTTTGGGGGAGGCCTATGTTCAGCAGTGGACTTGTGAAGGGCTGTAATGATGATGAAAATGAATGCTGTTAATTGGCGTGGGACGATTTGGTAACGGACGAAGCTCGTCAACAAAATCAATTTTGTATCAAATTGTGTCTTTTCGTATGTATTTTAGCATACGTACATCTGTGACGACTGGGTCACCTGTCTTATATAACCAGGCCGTATAGATTTATATATTAATTCTTTCGAAAAGTCGATAAAAAGGTATAGTCCAAATAACGAGTTTCATTAGGCATAGGATCCCTCCTAGCTGTTTTAGTTATAGCCATGTGTTGTTGTGGAAGGTAAATTTCTTTACCTTTTAATTTACACTCTATTGCACTGTGTACGGAATCCAATTCTATGTGGGAATGGCCTTTTTCCATGTCCTTTTGAGTAACCACAATATTTTTTTCAAACGCTAAACGTAATAAAACATTGCTTATGATAAAATTGCGATTTTGAGCACAACAGCCATCGGAATATAAAATCACAGACAATAATTTCTGACTCAAAACATTCTCTAGATGGTCTACTAATCATGAAGCAAAAACAGAGGCTTCAAGCGCTCTATTTGACTCATCGAACCAATAACACATTACTTTCTTATAAGCTAAATTGTATAATGTAAAATTCTGGACGCATAATTTAGTTTTATAATAAATAGCACTGGCTTGAAGATACGGGGCCAATTTTACCAATTCAACATCCTGCGTGAATACGTGACAAGCTCCGGCCTGTGCAATACCTTTGTCAGTATCTTTCTCTTTCCTGGCTCGATGTTTTTTCAAAACATGTTGAGCGTATTTTTC